GTCTGGATGGTGCACTCAGTGAAGTCTTTGGCAAAACTCCTGTTGGCTTCAAGGACACAAGAGCAGGCCTTAGAAGCGAGCAACATACACACAGCAGGGAGAAGAAAAAGACACATGGGGAAAGAGCACAGAGAATTTGGGGAGGACGGAGACACAAACATGGTTCAGCAAATTAAAAATAGAGATACTTCAATGATTGTGTTGATTTTCTATTCTCAGATAATTACTGCTGGGCACCGAACTACCTATCCTCTCATTTAATAAACACTGGAGTGGGCAGTGACCATATAATCATTTAGAGGTGATCAAACATTTCTGATGATCTAAACCCTGATTAGGTGCACGTACCAACCAATGCGGGATGGAGTTTTACATCCATTTCATATGAAATGATGTTGAGGAAATATGGAATAACATGGTGAGTGGGGGGAATGCAGGGGTGGTGTCTTGGGATTGTGGGTTTAGCAAGAGGCGAAATCTCCACACCTGAAAGCCTTAGGTGGGAGCTTAGCTTTAGGCCTAGGAAATTATAATAACTGATTCCGTTTTTTTGCCCCACTCTCTGCCTTATCGTTCTCTGCTCCCTGCCCCCTTGCTGTTTGATGCTGTTGGCATGTCCTGCCACACAGATTGTGAGCTCTCTGGGGCAGGAACAGTCGTCTTTGATCTGCATCTGTACACGTTGGCACAACGGAATCAACCCCGCATTGCAGAAACGTCGGGATGGCAGGGACATCAGGAGGTGGTCTAGTCCCGCCCCCAGAACCTGACCCTTGACCGGGGCTCCCAGGGGGCTACAGAAATAAAACAATCCAATATAAAGGTGGCGGATGCAGCCTCACAGGGCAGGGAATTAAACAGGAGCGGGGTTTGAGACTGCAGGGATAGCAAATGGGGACTGTGGACATCAGGCAGGCAGAGAGGCCAGTACTTTTTGACTGCCCATTCGTGCTCTTTTAAATCTCAGGGAGTCTTCCATTTCCACCTCTGTTGTGGGAGGATTTAGTGCCCTGCGGGGTGAAGTCCATTGAGCAACACTGAGTTCCTGTTCCAGCTTCGGGGCAGGAAACTCATGAGGGATCTGAGATAGCAGGGTGTTTTTCTTATTACTTGAAATTGCTGCAATGGGCATATTGTCTTGGTGTGGGTCTGTCTGTCCGTCTGGTCCCTTTGCATTCTAATTCAGCAGCTGTGATCGCCTGCCTTGAGGTTAATCGAGCTGGAAACACATTCGCTGTGCTTGGTTTTCAGTAAGGCATAGCCCTCGCTGCACACGGCACAGGCCGTTTTAAAAAAAGCAGCACCCAGGTCATGAATAGCCCTAGGCACTGACCGCAGGACTATAGTGCTGTGGATTCATTCTGAGCAGTTCTGGTTGATCTCAGAAGTAGGCCCATGCACACATAAAAGAGCCTCTAAATTGTTCACCCGGGGCCTATTTCTGCAGGGTGGAGACAGCTTCTTTTGAGCTGCAGAACTCAGACACCGGAGGGACTCGTACGTCGGGCTCTAGCATAGGCTCTGGAGCTGATCTCATTCTACATGATGCAGATTGAATCATTAATTGTACACGAGATCATAATTCTCCGACTAACTGATTTGTTTTGGACTGGCCGTTTTCTGCGCATGCCCTGGGCTTGGTTCTCATTTACACTCCGACCTTTGAGAGGGTAAACGTAATTTATGGCCAAGTTAAGACCTCTTTACACCACCAAGATACAGACCAGAGAATCCAGCCGGGGGTATTTATTTACCCAGACCCAGATTTGACTGATGTTTTCTAGTTTGTTGCCGGTGCTGAATCAGCCCCATCAATTGTGCCTCGCTGTATTTCTAGGTAAAATCCTCTAATACGACATCACTTCCCGTGCCTGACTTTCCCCTCCTGCTGATGCTAGGGAGGAATAACTCCACTGAGGCCAGTCACACCAGCATAAAAGCACGGTGAATGACCCCCTATATTTATTTGTATACAACTCTGCCAGCAACAGAACTTGGGTGGGTTTTTTTTTAAAGTAGCCCATAATAATCCCATTGCTCTTCTGCCAGCGAATGGTTTGTCAGTTACTCAAACTCAAGTGTGAATTTATTTGAGGGAAGGAGCCAAGATATTGGCAGCAAGCACCGTGACCGTAAGTTCAACCCTCTCATGCATTTGTTATCATCGACACAGGCTATAACAGATGAGCCTTCCTCGGGAGCTGCTGACTGTGCACAACAGTTAATTGCTTCCCTTCTTCTCTCCCCCCCACCCCGCCATCTCTGTACTGCATGTAAACCGATCTGTCTTCTCCCCACCTCCGGCCAAGCAGGTGAAAATGACGAGAAAACTACTCACTCCAAGGTCACCTGAGCCACGGAATCCATCGAACTGTATCCATTTTCCATGAAGATCTCTGTGTACCGTCCCATTTTGATGGCTTCCAGCCAGTCCCCTACTGATCTGTAGGCACCACTTCCCAGGGGGCTGTGTTCCACTAATAAATTGGACACTCTAAAACAAACAAAGGAGAGCAGTCGGAAGATGTACCCAGCAGCAAGCATTCACTCACAGCAGGGGACTGGTCTTGATGACCTCTCAAGGTCCCTTCCAGTTCTAATGTTCTATGAGTTTATGATGAGCCTTTTGTTACACTGGTTGAACCTCTCTAGTCCAGCACCCTTGGGACCGGACTGATTCCAAATAAGAGAATTTTCTGGATGTTGGGAGGTCAACATTGTCTAGCAGCAGTGCTTTTTTTGTGATGGTATGCCCTGTGACAGCATACCGGCACCTATTTTCCCTGTATATCTTCCATGAATTGCAATCTCCTCGGGCGTACAAGCACCTCTTCTCCTGGGACGGCTGGGTTCCTGACGGAAGCCCGCTTGGAACACGCGACTCTTAAGGGGGCCATGATGGCATTTAGGCATTACCAACACTTTCACTGCTTGCTGGGCTCTTAGAGGACATTTAGGGATACATTTGAGCTAAATAACAGCAATGAACATTGAGATTCAGGACTGGTGGCTGCAAAAAAACTTTCTGGGACCTCAGGAAACTTGGCCACACCTATAAGCGGACATCTGGATAACTAAGATCATGCCGGACCACAGAGGTTGCTGAACCAGAGTGCCAGACTAGAGAGGTTCGACTTGTACTTTCTTAGACAACCCCGATATCTGTGACCTTAATTACATCGAGCGTTAAAGGGTCTAACTGCTCCCCGCAATGCCTCTGACTTTGGTGTGAACAGCTAGCCCAGTGCTGAAAGCTTCTGAAACTCCCACATTTTAAAACTATTTTACCAGCAAAACGAAAAGAGGAAAGTATCATAAATCAGATAAGCAAGAATTTGCAGATTGCAACCAGCGTCTTTATCGGTTTGCTTTATTCGTTGCAGCATTCATCTTTACTCCTTTCTTCTGCTTCGGTGGTCCTGCTCATTTGAACGGAGACTGTCTCTCTCTGTGCTTGGAGCCCCTAGCAGTAAATGGCAGGAGACTGCATACCTTCAAGACCTCAGTTTTGCTTCCACCATTCTATTTTCCTTCTCCTGAATCAAAGTGTCCAGAGCCTAGAAGCCAAAATCTATTGCTACGCACGTCAGGAGTAGGGAGATAAATACAAATCATATTCCCTAGTGCTGGGTATATACACCAGTCTGTGATCAGAATGTAAATATTTGATCCTGCGACATTGGACTAGAGTCTCCAAACTGCTCCGCTCCTGTTGATTTCAGGAGTTGATTCAATCAGGATATGATTTAGGAGGTTGTCTGTAGGCACCCATTAAAAAAAATCAGAAACTTGGCCTATGATTCAAGTAGCTTAGGTCATGGGAATTGTTCCATGGATGTCAACAGAACTATCTGTCACAGTCAGGCTCCATTCTGCATGGGTCGCTAGGTAATACGGTAATGTACAATACTAGCTCTTACACACAGCTCTTTTCAATAGTAGAGCTCACAATGTTCTCCAAAGGAGGCCAGTCTTATTATTCCCATATTACAGATGGGGGAAAATGAGGCTCAGAGTGGTAAAGGGACTTTCCTGAAGTCACCCAGGGGAGCTCCGGTTGGAACCCAAGACCAGCTTAGTGATCTATTCACTAAGCCACGTCACCTAATAATACTACATCCGTGGGGAATGCAAGCCACAGATATTTGCAAGATTGAGCCTTAAATATGTAAACTTGGTTCTAATATACCTGACTGGAAGGCAATCCAGGATATTATATTAGTTAGCACTTCAGGAGTCTTCATATATTTTATGAATATGTTAGTACTATTTATTTACTTAATGGCTATACTGAAGGGGCCAATAAAATGTTAATATTGCCAGTAACAACAGCATAATGTTTTCACATAATATTTCGCATATTTCAGAGGGGATTCAAACTTCCTTACTAATCAGGCAAAGAAGTGGATTTTCAGTACTTGTGCCCTGGGGCATCTACTGCTGTGCGCACATTGTAATGCTACTGGTTCCCCTCCTATGTGGGGAATTTTTAATCTCTTTTGCTATAGATTAGATTTTGTCTGTGTGTCTGTCTGAAAGTCTGTTTGTTCAAGAACTCCTCCTAAGAGCTAAGGCCACCCTATTTGGTAGGCCGCTTCCTCTTCTCTTCACTCAAAGCAAGATCAGGATTTGGTTGTGACAGGAAAACTGGAAGTGCCAGGAAAGGGACTGGTTTCCGTCACGTGCAAAGGGAGGGGCTGATGTTTGGAGGGACGCAATATGAGAGTAGCCACTAGGGCAATGAGCCCCCGGGGAGAGCTAACCTGTAGAATGCCCACTGGCACCAGCCGCACCACCAAGGGACAGGCCAGCCATCTTGCCAGCCTGCACACCAAGTAAGCAGCCCTGAACCCTTTCACCCCTCCTGACCCTTAGCTGCAGTGCCAGGAGGTGGGGGACAAGAAAGGCCCCTGGTGACAGGAGGAGACTGGGAGGGAGAGAAAATACCCCTGGAGGCCAGGTGAGGTCTGAGGGGAGAAAAAATGCACCTGTTGGCTCGGGGGAGGAGGAGCTTTGAGGAGAAAAAAGACCTGTGCCAGATGGAACCCCCCCACCCTGAACCCCTCTTTACCCACTCCTCACTCTCGCACCACCCCTTTACACCAACCTCCTGTACCCACCACTACATTCCCAAGGCCCTGCCCTGTCTGGTGGCTGTAAACAAACTTCATGGGGCCATGAGAAACTTAGCCCCACCCATGCTAAGTGGACATCCGACTAATTAAAATCATCCTGGACCACGGATGTTGCCAGACCAGAGAGTGCCAGACTATAGAGTTTCAACCTGAAGACGCACAATTTGCCATTGAGGATTTCTTTCCTCTATTACCAGTATCAAGTCAACAGACAGACAATTTGAGTGATGTTACTTATATACGTTATGGGCTACAGCCTGCTCCGCCTGTCCTGGGTGTAAATCCATTGTATCGCACTACAGAGAGCTGCTAGCTGAGCTTCCCCAAGACAATCATTTCAGTGTGGATGCCTTTGTAATGTGGCCGAATTGCTCATGGAGCTGCCAATCTAAACAGAAAGAGCCGACTTGGGAAAACTCTTCTGGACATGATGACGTTTGTGGTACCTCCACCAGGGGCTGCCCAGACCATACAGTGAGTACTATTTCGGTGCCCAGGTGCAAAGCCATGAATCATGAATGGAAAAAAAGCGTTGGCCCGCATGGATACCTGCTCGACGCATTAACCAGGGTCTTCAGGCTGCTGGGGTTACGGATGAGCTTGTCCAACATGCTGACAATTTCATCAAACTTAGGCCTGCTGTTCCGGTCCTTCTGCCAGCAGTCGAGCATTAGCTGGTAAAGAGCCGCTGGGCAGTCCATGGGACTTGGCAAGCGATAGCCCTCCTCCACCGCTTTTATCACCTAGGGGAGACAAAACCAGAGGGTGGGCTTTTTTAACTTGGGCAAATACAAATTGTTTTCACTAAAATGCTGCATGGCCATCAAGTCGCCCCCACAATGCAACACAAATCTCTGCCAAACAGGTCACTGCCCCGTTACAGTTAATAATCAGGAAAAGAAGGGGTGAAAATCATTTCCATTCATGCTCACAAATGTGACAAAGATCCTCAGCGGGTGTAAATTACCATTGAATCCCTGAGGTTAATGGGCCAGATGAGCTGTCGTAAATTTCCAGAGGCAACAGACCTGAGTTCCAGCTAGTGTACGTTGCCAGAACTCCAGCGGGAACCCAAGCAATGGCATGATCAAAGTGAATGGATTTATCTCAGTTTACACTAGATGCAAGTCTGTATTCCTTCACATTTACAGAATCCTAAAACTGGAAGGGACCTCAAGAGGTCATCAAGTCCAGTCCCCTGCCCTCACGGCAGGACCAAGCACCATCTACACATCTGTCAGGGATGGTCTATCCAACCTGCTCTTAACTGTCTCCCTAGGCAATTTATTTCAGTGTTTCACCACTCTGACAGGTAGGAAGTTTTTTCCTAATGTCCAATCTCCCTTGCTGAAATGTGAGCCCATTGCTTCTTGTCCTATCCTCAGAGGCCAAGGAGAACAATTTCCCCTCCTCCTCCTTTTAACCATCTTTTATCTGTTCTTGAATTCTGAGAACTGCAGCATATGCTCTCTCTAGCAATTTCTCAGAATAGAAAATATATATATTTTAATGAAAAGGCCTGTGCTGGATCGCACATTTGTTTTGCAACAATAAAAGTCCACTTTTATTTCAAATCAGACTTTGAATGCTAAAAGATGAATAGATTCCAGGCTTCGGCAGCATGGCCACCTCATGTATCATTCAAGAATGGCGGGGTCTAGTCATTTGTTATTGTGTACTAATTTCTGCCAGGAAATGAAAATGCCGGCAAGATGGTACACGGCCATTGAAAAGCAGAGGGGGATTAAAGCCCATTGATTTGAAATGCAAATGTGGAAAATATGATGTTTTCGTAATATGGCTCTGTATCTAAAACAGCGGTGAAAAGTGCGTGCTTTCTTGTCTCCTTCGGAGTGAACAGACATGACATCAATGCACAGTGACTGTGCAAGAGACCTCTTCTTTCAAATCAAAGCATGGTTTTTTTAGAAAGACGCCCAAGTTTGATTTAAACACTTGATTTGAAGCCTTCGAAATGACGGCTGCCCATATTGAATCTGCCTGTACTGCTGTTACCATGGACAAAACAAATGGGATTACAATTTAGGAGACGTTTTTAGTGAACCACTGACTGGATTTGCAAACAATGTGTTTTAACTAGCTGCAATTATAAATCACAGACCGAAGAAGGAGGACAGGAGCTCTTTCAAGAATTGAAATCCATGCAATCGAAACGTCATGGTTGACCATATTACAGCCACCATCGATAGCAGAAATATCTAACTCTTTGGCCAACTGAGGCGGGAGTGGAGTGTAAAGAAAAGGGGAGGCAGAAAACACTTTGGAAACAGTCCCATGTCATAGCAGGGAAGACCCTGGAATTAAATTTGCTTGTTTAGCTGAAGTTGCCAAGCAGATGTAATACAGGCACAGAGGTAATCCAAGCAAAGCTTGGACAGGAACCAATGTTAATTGCAAGAGCTAAAACTCTTATTAATTCTCTACTGGGAGGAACCAGACTCACATTCATCCTTTTGAGGATGCATTTGTGAAATCCATGCACTGTCCAAAAGGATGCTGCTAAATTAGGTTTCTTTTTTTTTAAATAAAGGGTCTAGAAAATGCACACGAGGGATTCCAATGACAATGGCGTGTTATCTGGCTGACTCCACCTTGAATCTTAGTTCTTAGCTTACTGCAACGGAAGAGGAGACAAAGTAGGGACCACGTTGCCGCACTGGGCCTGGCAGAAAGTTTCTGTACTAGATTGGGATGGGTAGCATCTTCCTGGTAAATTGCCTTTGAGTAAGGGAGCTGTGGAATGGCTGCTCTGACTCAAGAAAACAGCACAGGTGTGCAACCAGTGGAATGCTTTTCTCTGCCCTTTTGCTCTGTGTGATGGTGAGAGCTGTGAGGCCCTTCTCTGCTGGGATGCTAGAGGACAGACATGATTGAATGCACCATGTAGCAGGTGATCACACTGTTGCTTATGATGGTGAAAGTGGTGCTAGATGAAATAAGGAAGAAGCAGGAATCCCCAAAAGAACTTTCATGGTTCAGGTAACTGCTAATGCCAAGTGGACAACATTCCCCTCTGTGTGTTGGGACGTGGTTACGGCCACGGAAGAAGGGAGTTATGAGGGATTACCAAATGATATTAGCAGGTAGCAGGTTCAACACAAACGCAAGAAAGTACAGTCAACCTGTGGAACTCCTTGCCAGAGGAGGAGAAGACTATAATAAGGTTCAAAAAACAGCTAGATACATTCATGGAGGGTAGATCCATCAATGGCTATTAACCAGGATGGGCAGGAATGGTGTCCCTAGCCTCTGTTTGTTAGAAGCTGGGAACGGGCAACAGGAAATGGATCAGAGGATTTCCTGTTCTGTTCTCTCTGGGGTGCCTGGTATGGGCCATTATCAGAAGACAGAATACTTGGCTTGATGGACCATTGGACGGTCTTATGTTCTGTTCTCACGAGTTTTGCCCACGTGAAGTCTGCAAAGATAGAGCGGGTGAAAAGGGGCCGTGATAACAAACCCAGCTAGAGTTTTTCAAACCTGTCTCACAAGGTTCCTAGCGCCAGAGGAGCGGTTACGAGGCCCCTTTAAAGACTAGCTTCTGCTTTTGGTGCTGTCCAGGGACGTGTAGGAAAAGAGCGAGCAGGGGAATTCAAATGGATGCCTCCAGTGGGCCCCCTTGTATCAGGGAGGATCTGTGGATGAATGGTGTCCAGTTCTTTCACTGGGCTATGGGATTCAGACCAGAGCATAATTCAAAGGGGACTCTATGACTGATGTTTCCCAGATTATCCTGGCTTGGAGGGAGGACGGGACCCTAGCATGGCCTACAACACTGGCCCTAAAAGCAACACCGTCCCATTCAAACAAATATGGCACAGCCAGCTTTGAATCCTATTCCGTCCACTCGCAGTGCTAGGAAAAGGAAATTTGCTTTTGACTGAAAATCGTATGCCTGAAAGAGGCCAAACATCTAACTCATGAAACATCCCCAGATCCTAAGGAAGTAGAGTCATGAGGAATAGTCTAGCAGTGAAGTGGCCAGTCCCTACCCAAACAAGACCATGGTGGGAATCTTGTAAGGCCAGATTTTCACACAAAGCTCAGCTCTCAGGCACTTAAGTGACCTGGCCAAATTTTTAAAAGAACTCAGCCACCAGCAGCTCCTTTTGAGGATCATGTTGAGGGCAGGCCAATCTTGACAACCCATTTCCTTTAGCTAAATACCTAAATGGAAGCCGAGTTCATCTGAAAATCTGCCTCTACTTGGGGGTCCAGAGCACTTTGGAAAAGATGAGGTTAAGAGCCGCTTGGAAATGTCGTGAAAGGCCCCCGTTGTGTCTGCGCATTACCCTCCAGCCGTTAATAACGGGACTGCAAGCTATTACGGATGCAGAAACCCTGCGTGGTCCAACCTGCAGGCGGGAGGGGGTGGAGAGATTGAGGCAGGGCGCACTGCTTATTTTTAAGTAACTTACTGAGGCCAAAGAGGAAAGCAGCACACAGCAAACCTGCTGCTACCGCTTCTTAATATAAAATCATTTATTTTCCCAATGCAAATTAGACGCATAATCTGTCTATTCATCAAATGGATTAATTGCACCATATCCCGTTTCATTTAATTGTTTTTATCTTCACTGAATACTACCCCACCCCCTCTGTTGACTATATACTGGATTAAATCAGTACAGCATCGGCAAAGCCAATAAGGCATTACCTGAGGACCTCACCCGCTGCCTGGCCTGCATACGGTGTTCACTCCTGTGCAGAGTTCCTAGGAACTCTAACCACGGAACAGCACTCCATGGTGCTGGGTGTTGGGGACACAAAGCACAAAGGCAGTGCCAACTCCACAGAGGTTACCATGTCACTAGTACCTACAGCCCTAGCTAAGTGTGTAAGGCCCTGTGGTGCTAACCACTGTACCTATGTATGACGAGAGACCATCCTTCTTTAGCCTGCAAGCTCTTAAAAGCAGGCAAGACAAAGCATCGGAGGGGAAAGAGGGATGAGGATGATGCTCAAGATCAGTGGCAGAGCCAGGAAGAGAATCTAGGTGAAGAGTTCCACCCATTCACTCAAGGAAGCAAGGCACGTGTACGCCCTTAAGGCACGTGTACACTGCCTGCTGGATCGAACAGTTCGATCCAGCGGGGGTTGATTGATCAGGTCTAATATAGACACAATAAATCAACCACCGAGCACTCTCCTATCAACTCCATTACTCCACCAGAACCAGAAGTACAGGCAAAGTTGATGGGATAGCATCTGCCATCAACTCACCACAGCGAAGATACTACGGTAAGTATAGATCTAAGTACGTCAGCTTCAGCTACATTATTCGTACAGCTGAAGTTGCATATCTTAGTTTGATGGCCCACAGTACACGAGGCCTTACTAATAAGGACAGATCTCTAAGATTAAGCTATACCTAGGGACCTTTGTTTTCCTTTTTTACTGATTTTTATTGAAAATTCCCCTCGTTAAAAAAAAAAAAAGCAAGATTCTATGGATTTTCCCCCTGAATTTTGAACCATTCAAGGACATGGAAATACTGGTTATGTTAAGAAACTCCAATAGATGATATTAGGGAGATGTCTTAATGTTACTAAAAAATTAGTCTAAGTGAAATTGTGAGGCTGGCTGTTAAAGTAAGGTGATGTAGTGGAAGATGCATATGCACAGACATACATATTTGTACGTACTGTTTGTGTACAGTTTTTGTGTACATCAAACAATGGTTTTCATTTTAAATGCTCATATGTTTACCTGTGTGTTACTTTTCCCTTCTATTTCTGTCGTACAATGCTACCCTCAATACTTAACCAGAAAACTGCAAATGCTGATTTTTTTATACTGATTTTTACTCATTTTTATAATAAACTCAGATACATTCCCAGGAAATTTTAAACAAAACAAAAATGGAAAACAAAACGCGTAAGGTTTAGCTGACTGGAGTTTGTAAATGTAGCTGAAATTCTGCCATTTATCGACATGAATCCTTTGGCAGACCTTTATCTTTAAACATAACCCTGATGGACTGTGGTGATAACAGCACCAGTGGCACTACAGTATCCTGCCAAGTTTTCACTCCAGCCAGTTTTTATTCCATGTCGACGGCATAAAATGAGATTCAAGAACAGAAATTTCAGGGGGAAAGCAAAATCGTTTCGCGGGGCTTTCAGACCGAAGGCCCAAGACACATTGAGAGCAAGAGATGTGTCATGCAGTAGTGTTGGCAAGAACTTACATCTTGATTGGTCATCTCCCAGTAGGGTCTCTCCCCATAGGACACTACTTCCCACATCACTATCCCATAGCTCCAGACGTCACTGGCTGAGGTGAATTTGCGGAAGGCGATGGCTTCTGGGGCTGTCCATCTGATGGGGATCTTCCCTCCCTTGTGTGAAAAAAAAAATCAAAGGGGGGAGGGGAGAGAAAAGAAACATTTCTTAGACCCTCAAGGGAGATTTTTTTTCTGTTGCTGTAGGATGGTGGAAAGAGACAGAGAATTTTAAGGCAAGTCTCACAGCATGAGGCCCCTCTCCAAATACTCTCAGTTCATAAGCATTTGTAGCTGGCTATTAATTGGCTGACCTGTAGGGATGTTTAAATTTCATTGGCATGCTGGAACACGTTTAGGAGTCACATCTTCACTAGGTTGTACCAGTAAGTAGGGGGAAAAAGCCAAACGACCGATGTAACGAACTTTCATGAGTCGCTGAGAGCAAATGGGGAAGGAGCAAACACCTAAAAGTCTCTGGGAGACTCTGGGCAAACGTGAACCTCATGCGCATTATAGGGCAGGAGGCTGGATTTTATTTTACAGATCTTTGCTCTCGATCCTGCAGTTGCATCCAGGTAGGTTGGCCACTGAAATCTACAGGGCTCCACGTGAATGCAAAGTTGATTGCAGGACAGAAGCCTACATAAGAAATGGGGAAACCAGATGATTGGCCTAGTGTTGTAAAAATCTCAGCTGCATCACCTTGTTTCTCACCAAGTTACATCTATCCTGGGAACTGGATGCAGTTTGTGTTACAAAACACAAGGCATCTGAAATCTGTCCAGCACCGAGCCGCCCTACGGACTCTCCCCACACCTTCCCACTTCTGTGTGCTGCTTTGTTTTGTGTTGTTATTATTTTTGTCACAATGTAGAGCTCCGTTTTCTAAATGCTCAACACCCAACTGCGCCAGCTTCGGCCCGACCCTGAGCATGAGCTCTTCTGAAAATCCTACTTGGACACCTCCAGAATGTCCTTTTGTTCAACGGTCCAGTGTCCCCAGAACCTACCCTTGTGGTGTATGCTGCTTCAGGGTCGTCCTCGAGGACTCGGGACAGGCCGAAATCAGACACTTTGCACACTAAGTTGCTGTTGATGAGGATATTTCTGGCAGCGAGGTCTCTATGCACGTAGCCCATGTCGGACAGGTACTTCATCCCCGACGCAATGCCTCTCAACATCCCAACTAGCTGAATGACTGTGAATTGTCCATCGTTTTTCTGCAAAGACACAGGAGAGGAAGAGATCAAATGCGGCTTGCTATGTTCCTCACGCCGGCATTACACACGTGCACAAATGACAGACTCAGAAGCAAGTCCCAAGTGAAGGCAAATAGAGGAATTTACAATGAATGAGACCATGGTGCTCTGGGCCAGAGGCAGGTCCTAAGGGGATCATAGTCTGGAGATTTTAGAAACTGAGCTGAGACCAGGGCCGGCGACAAGACCTTGCCGGGCAATGGAGGAGGAGGGACTCAGCTGTGGGTCCTTCAGAAGGGGCGGGGCCATGGGTGGAAAGGGCGGGGCTCTGAAAGCAATTCAAAGGGCCCAGGGCTCTGGCCACAGCTGCTACCATGGTAACAGAAAAGGCAGCTTAAAGCCACAGGCCCTTTTAAACCGCCAGGCCTCAGGGCAACTGCCGCCTTTCCTCTGCCCCCATTACCTCCATTGGTGGCCCTGGCTGAGACAACAGATGAGGGACTCGCCCAACGTAGTACTTCCAGGGGTACCTCACAACGCCCAACGTACCACTTACAGTGCACACGCTGATGTCCGTATGCAGCCCCCCACGACTGTCCCTCCGCACGAAGGTTGTAAACAATGCAGATCACACGCAGCCTCGCCTGCGAGGCCTAATCCTCACTGCTGACAAAGCGCCATCAGAAATACCCGTACATCTTTACTCCACAGGGCCATTTGGCGCCAAAATGCAACTCTATAGAGGGAGGCTTGAGAGCCGGCGCTGCTCCGAGCAGAACTCCTCACGGCAAGGAGAAGAACACGTTCTATTTTGTGATATTATTGTATTTTCTTGGTGTGTGGGAGCACCCAGGGCCCAAGCAGTGAACCACGGCCCTGAGCACCGTCGAGAAACAGAGCCCTCACGGAGAGCTGAGACCACTCCCGCCTCGAACACTACCATGGGGCCAGCACTTTGCAGCATTTCCCTGGGACGAGGGTGAGCGGGGAGAACCCTTTAAGAAAACACCACCATCCTCCAAGAAAAACCGTCTGAGCCTTTCGAGTCTTACCTTTAAAAATGTGTCAAGAGAGCCATTCTCCATGTACTCCGTCACAATCATTACTGGCTTACCTGGGAAAAGGAAGATCATACATTTATTAGCTGACATTCATCTAAAAGACACTCCCCTCTAAGTCTTAATGTGCACAACAAGCTATGCCGAACCCAATTGCAATGTGTGCCGATATACAGTAAGAATCCGTCTCTGCCCCAAAGAGCTTACAGTCTAATAGACAAGATGGAAAATGGGGGCAGGGAGAGGAGGCAATATTATTATCCTTATATTACAGATGGGGAACTATGTCCCAGAGAGGTTAGGTGATAAGGTCACACAGGGATTCTGGAAAAGGGCTTGAAATTGAACCAAATCATGAGTCCAGTCTAGGGCCATTGCCACCAACGCAGCAGCTTCTTTTCTCCTTGAGCAAACTGAAGCCTGGGACAAACACCATGCCACTAGGGACCCAGGTTCCCTTGCAGTGGATGAAGCTCCTCAGCCAGTGTGAGCAGCTAAGGAGACGGAGCAGGAGAAGGATGCAGGATGGCCCCTCTTGAAAATGTTGAACGGCATGAGGTGTCAGAACCTCCGCAAAGCCTTGCTAAAACAGGCACCAGTTACCCTTTCACGTCCCAACTCTTCTCCAGCTCTTTTGCCCAGGTAGAGCACTGCTCCAGATAAAAGCAAAAATGAGTTGGGCAAAACCAGGATTGGTGAGCATGTGCCATGCCCATTCCCCTCAGATAGGGGTTTGTTAACCTGTGGAACTCATTACCACAGGATGTTTTTGATGCCAAGAACTCAGCAGGATTCAAAGAAGGATTCGACACTTATATGGATAACAATGATATCCAGAGTTAAAACAGCAACTACATTTGAATAAAAACTCTTTTGGATGTAAACCGATCTCTAACTAGAGGAGTCAGATCATCCCATAACTCCCTACTACAGGTCTTTTATTTGATTTTTTGTACCTTCCTCTGAAGTACCAGGTTCTGCCCACTGTTAAAGACAATATACTGAAGTAGATGGACCGTGACGTGTTAGGCCATAGGATGGACAAGCCAACTCGGTACATCAGGATCCATGTTTACAAAGAGATGTATCCATTATGCCCAGGAATCTGGCTGGCATGGCAGTTGGAGCCATCATTTCACTGTGGACAAGTGAGTACACTCTCTACCAAATATGGTAACAAAACAATGAAGGATTTTTCCACGTATGTGTTCTGAAAATATGGCCGCATTCAGGGAGTAAGAAAAAAGATGATCCAAGAAAAGTTAAAAAAAGACTGTGGCCTCCAACTCTTGGTAGGACTAAGAATGTTTTTCCAACTCCATTTGATTAATTTTCATGCCTGAGTCATTTTAATGGTAATTATATATAGTTTTTGCTGAGATTTTATATCTAATTTCTCGCTAGCTTGCCACAATGACATAGTAATGATTAGTGTGGCTTGCTCCAGGCCGTGTAAATTCAATGAAATCTTATAAAGAACATGTAAATTATTTTTTTATTTAAATCAATTCTCATTAACTAGCACGCGGCAGAGACAAAAGGGAAACCATCCATTCTGTCCAAACTGTATTATAATGTCTCGCATAGAAACGATCAGCTAAAACTGCTGCGTATCATAACATGACTATAAAGGTAAGTGCTCTTAAAAGAATTTCCTATTTTGCTGTTTAAGTTGATCTTAAACTTTGTACATTCTGGTTATGTTAATTGTTTGACTAATAGACTGTTTAATAAGCTACGTAAATAAACATAATTGTGTATTCATCAATCAAACCACCACGCGCCATGCAGATACGGCCCTGGAGCTCTGTGCTTTGCATTTCTTTTATTTCTTAATGAGCATTTCAGTTACAGTGGTATGAGTTAAAGACTTGCAGCAGTCTTATTATTCATAGTATCGTGGCAGCTTGGGGCACTAGGTGAGAGCAGAGGCCTATAGAAACATGGTGTAAGAAATCGTCTCTCCTGCAAAGATCTCACAATGTAAATAGTTACGCCCAGGAGAGGAAACAGAGGTGGGGTCACTGACAGATCAGTGGCAAAACTAGGAACAGAATCCAGCTCTTTAGTACTTCAGCCATCAACCACCTTACAGTGGTACAAGTTGAACCTCTCTAGTCTGGCACTCTCGGGACCTGACTGGTGGCAAATCTGAGAATTTGCCGAACCATGGGAGGTCGATATTGTCTAGCAGCAGAGGCATGTAGTCTAGACATACCCAAAGGGACTTACGCAAGGCCACACAGAAAGCCTTAGGTAGAACACAAAATGGAACGTAGTCCTCCAAGTCCCCAGATAACACCGTAACCATCCCTTTTGCCTTCCTTGCTAGATAAAATGTCACTCCCGTTGACTTAGCTACGCACCTACGGGATTCAGGGTCACAAACCCCTCATTGACTTCCCTTATGTCTTTAGTTCCTAAATCCCTTAGTCACTTTGGGGGAAAACCTCCCCATATTTATTATCCAGAATTCATAATATTTTCAAGGTGATTGGATGTTGATTATGTAAACAATCCAGGATTTTGTTGGGTTTTGGTGCTTACATGTAAAAGTTTGGTTTTCTTTTCAAATGGAATTTTAGCCTGATCAAGATCTAACTCAAGAAAGGGGTCAGTGGCTAGAATTTCGGGTGGACTATTGGAAGAGAAGGTAAACACACTTTTACATTAATGAAAGTTTATTTTTTATTTTAAATTTAAATCAATTAAATTTCCCTGCTAGTCCTTGAAATTGTTGAAGTTTGGGACCTGAACAGTCTTTATTTATTTGGAGGGGGTAATTTTTTTCTATACACACACTTAGACCCAAGGGAAATATTTCAACTGTCAATGTGGAACTCCTTGCCAGAGGAGGTTGTGAAGACCAGGACTTTAACAGGGTTCAAGAAAGAGCTAGATAAATTCATGGAGGTTACCAATACTTATTAGCCAGAATGGGTAGGGATGGTGTCCTTTGCCTCTGTTTGCCAGGTGCTGTTGCTTTCCACCTTCCAAGTCCCGTTTCCCTTGGTAACTTCACATGAACTCTGGGTGTGTAAGCCCCTTTGTTCATTTCAGTTGAACATAAGATTGGCCCTACTGGGTCAGCCCAAAGGTCCATCTACCCCAGTGTCTTGCCTTCTGACAAAGGCCAACGCCAGGTGTCCCAGGAGTGAACAGAACAGGGACTCATCAAGTGATTCCTCTCCTGTCATCCATTTCCAGCTGCAATTTCATTGGACTGCTCAGAGCTGCTTCTTCAAGGATCCTCCCTCTTCTCGGAGAAACAGATGTTTCATGTAAGGCAGGAGAACACTGCTTCTTTTTGTCTGAAGTCTGATTACAGGTGAGACAGGGCACAGTTTGAAAATCTAGCCTGGGAAATGTGCCATGCTCTTCTGAGTAGTTGCGGGAACAGTGTCAAGGAAAAGGCATCCCCAGAAAGGACCCTAGTGAAGGCCTTAATACAGTGGATCCCAAACTTTTTACCTTGCGCCCCCCAGCTTACCTCTGCCCCACATACACCCTGCCCCCCAGAGCTGGGGCCAGGAGAAGGCCCTCAACTCTGGAAGGTGGGGATGCAGACAGGGGTAAGAGGGCTGTAGCTGTAGCTGGGGATAGCAATCACAGCCGGAAACAGAACTCCGGAAGCAAGGTCAGGAGCCGGGGCCAGGACTGGAGGTGGGTGTTCTGCCCTCCCTGCCCTTCATGACTGGTTTTGTGAGAGATTACAAGTTTAGCCACCTTCTCAAGCTGAACAAGTTCCCCTAATGCTTGGGGATTATAACTAACACTGACGTATTGGCTTCATCAAGGACCAGAAGTCTACAGAGGCTGGTACATACTTTTTGTGACAACTCCTTCCAAGTGAATGATGTTGGGATGGTCAAATTGTCCCATGATGCTTGCTTCCCCCAGGAAATCGCGCCGTTGCTTGTCCGTGTAGCCCACTTTGAGGGTTTTTATGGCCACCGGAAGCTCACGTTTTCCAGGCAGTTTCAGACGCCCGCTGCACACTTCCCCAAATTCTCCTGAAGAGAAGAAAACACCAAAAAAGGAAATAATTATTGTAATTTCAGTGTACCCGATGGGCAGGGCTGGCCAAGCGGCGGCGAGCCATGCTCGCCAGCCACGCAGTTCAGCATGCTGCGCATGTGCTGATCGTGCTGCGGTGCCGTGCCGGGCTATAATCTACTCGCCAGTGGCGAATAGATTACCTAAATTGTTGAGCGCTGGTAATAACAATGACTGAGGATTGCCGACAAATCAGCACGACATACATACACAATAGTAACGCAAGAAAGGACAACTCCAATTAGCTAATCTGACCTCCTGCGTGAGAAAAGCTGTAGAATTTCATGCACTGAGGATTGATATCAAAGCCAGAATTTTAAGGCTGATCATGAGTATTGCTTTCAAAAAGACACCCAGCCTCCTTTTACAGATTCCAAGTGATGGAGAACCTGCCATATTCCTAGGTAAGTTCTTCCAATGGTGAATGACCCTCACACTTAGAAACTATTTTTTTTCTATTACATTCCAGCTCGGCTTTCCCCTTAATATTTTTTTACCCACTTCCTCTTCTTGTTCCCCCCTTCCCATTTTTTCCTTCTTCCACCTCCCACCCCTCCCTTCTCCCTATTTATTTTGGTCCTGGACATCCAACGCGTTGGTCACCTGAAGAAGTGGGCTGTGCTCATGAAAGCTCAAGATACCATCTACATGTTTTGTTAGTCTTTAAAGTGCTACCAGACTATTAGTTGGTTTTTTTAAGTTTATCCTATGCAGACTAACTCGGCTACCCCCTGAAGCAACTTAAAAAGTGGTCTTATTTCCAAATTGAGTTTTCCTCACTTCAACGTCCAGTCGTCAGATCGAGTTATGCCTTTGTCTGTTAAGTGAAAGAGCCACTAGCATCAGCTTTCATCTTCTTGTGGAGGTAATTATACACCACGATCAAGTCACTTCTGAAACCTCTCTTTGGTAAGTTAAAATGAGAGCTTCTTTAGTCCCCATTGTAAGGTGAGAGAGGAGACAGTTGAGGTCAGGTGACATCTTTTAATGGACCACTGTTGTTGGAAAGCCCAAGCTGAGTGATGACAGTGAGAGCTTCAGGTTTGAGGAAGGAAATCAGAGTGTCTGAGCTAAACACAGCTTGGGATAGATGGTTATGCATAAGGGGAAACATGCTGGAGGTGGTCACCTGAAAGGAAGTGGACCACTGAGGGCTGAAATGTTATACAGAGCAGGTGGGAAGTGGACAATTATGGGTAGCAGACGTGTGGTGTGTTACAACTTGTTGTCATGAGCCATACAGCCAGTGTCCTTGTTAAACCCATGGTGGCTGGTGTCTAGCAGAGTTACGAAATGATGTCTCCAGACTTGTCTTATGGAGGTGTTGTGTGGGTTTCCTTTGAAGATGTGTATTGGAATAGCAGATACGGAGCTCCATGAAAAGTGTTCGCCCATGGATGACAGAATGTCTTTGTCTCTTCAGTCACTGTGCCCTCAGGTAGACTCACATAAAAAATGATAAACTTAAAAAACAACCAATAGTCCTGCAGCACCATAGAGACTAACAAAACATGTAGCTGTTGTCATGAGTTTCGTGGGCAAAACCCACTTCTTCAGATGATTGTGCCCATGAAAGCTCATGATACCATCTATATGTTTTGTTAGGGTATGTCTACACTTGCACCCTCTTTCGAGAGAGGCATGCAAATGCAACTGAGCGAAATTGCAAATGAAGCGTGGATGTGAATTTCCTACGCTTCAATTGCATATTCACGTTATGGCGCTATTTCAAAATAGCACTATTTCAAAGAAAGAAAGGTTGTCTAGACATGGTTATTTCAAAAGAAAACCCTTCTTCTGAAATAACCCTTATTCCTCCTACAACAAGGTTTACCAATTATTTCAGAAGGGTTTTTCTGAAATAACCCCATGTCTAGACAACCTTTCTTTCTTTGAAATAGTGCTATTTTGAAATAGCGCCATAACGTGAATATGCAATTGAAGCGTAGGAAATTCACATCCACGCTTCATTTGCAATTTCGCTCAGTTGCATTTGCATGCCTCTCTCGAAAGAGGGTGCAAGTGTAGACATACCCTTAGTCTTTAAGGTGCTGCAAGACTATTTGCTGGTTTTTTTTTTAAGTTTCTCTAGTTATAGACTAACTCAACTACCCCTCTGAAGCTTGTAAACAATGATGAAAAACAAAACAAATACCTCAGGTATCTAGTCTCTGGGACCAATATACCTGAAGCCACGTGGCAAACAACATTGGAAAGTACATTTTCCACACTACAATTCAGTCTTCAAGTTCTTCTCTGGACTCTTTCCAGCTTTTCAACCACCTTTGTAAAGACTAGATCCCAGAATTAGACCTGGTATTCCAGTGGTGGTCTCACAAGCACTGTTTGCTGAGGTAACCACTCAACCTAGGCATACACTAGTGGTGGGTATGTGAGGGCACTCAACCGTGAGAGCCATGTAACCCCGCTGCGTTCAAAGCATTGCCGGGGTTCAGTCGGCATGCCCCCACATTGTAGGTATGGAGAGGCAATTATCAAAACTGCTCTATTCCAGGAGACCATCTCAGCCCACTGAGATGAAGGAAGGACACTCATGCAACCCACTCACTCGCCTAGGTCGCCTATTGCTGGCATACACAATACAAATATTAGGCTGGCCTGTTCTGTGATTTTGAACAGCAAAGCAATAAGCTCCTCATGATAACCAACTGGAAGACTAAACATATCTCCATACCAGCGCCGATAACTCTTTCAATAGTTATGCAAGACGCTTCAATTTCCTTGGCAAATTCATGGACGGCTTGATTGGGGTCTTCATAGGTATGCGGGTCAATGTAAGTCTTCACTCCTGGCAATTTAACTGTAAACATAAATGAAAATGTCAATGACACATATAGTGAGGGGTGAGCATAATATGAAGCTTGTTTCTTGTGCTAACTTCACTCACACTGGAGAATATGTCGAAGGGAACCTATCTTCAGGGAAAAATGAATAGCTGAACACTTTGTTAATACTTTGTATCCTGAAATACAATGCAGGTAAGTACTGCTGAAAAATGTTACATGGTTTGTATTATGTATGAAAAATATGGTACATAACTTTCCTCAAATAGAATGATCATGAATTAAAACCTGCCCCGATCACATGTTTGTGACATAACACATCTTCAGGGTTGCACTCCAAACGAATAATAATAATAATAATAACAATAATAATAAAATATCATTAATAAGCTTTTTCCCTGGGACTCAGGAGGGGAAAGGCACTTTCACAAAAATTATTGTTACTATTATTGTAAGTTCGCTTTGAGAAGCATTAAAGCTACTGTGGAGAAACTACTCATCAGGTTGAGTAAGAGGTTCACAATGCAGCCCTTGAATTGATTGGCGTCCTGCTGTCTGCATTAAACAGCACTGAGTGAGATATGAATTTACTCTAGCACGGAAAAGGTAAAAATTCTTTAGACAAACACTTAGTTCTTACATAGCAGCATCTTTCATCTGTCCTTACCCCAGCACTTTACAAAAGTTTTGTAAAATCTGACCCTAGATTTACAGAATAATGACTAACAAATTAGGGTTGTTAATTAATATCAGGTAACTCATGTGATTAACTAAAAAAATTAATTGTAATTTACTAAACTAATCAGGATTAAATGCAATTTTAATAAATAGAATTACAACTGACATTTAGTAAGCATTTTGGAAATTCTACATTTTCAAAAATATTTATTTCAATTACAACACAGAATACAAAGTATACAGTGTTCATTTCATCTTATCATTTGGATTACAAATATTTGCACTGTAAAATTATAAACAAAAATATGTTTTCAGTTCAGCTCATACAAGTACTTTAGTGAAATCTCTTTATCAGAAAAGTGCAACTTGCAAAAGTAGATTTTTGTGTTACATAACTGCAGTCAGAAATAAAACAATGTAAAACTTGAGTGTCTATAAGTCTAGTCAGTCTTACTTCTTGTTCAGCCATTTGTTAAGAGAAATAAGTTGGTTTACATTTACAGGAGATAATGCTGCCCGCTTCTTATTTACAGTGTCCCTTGAAAGCGAGAACAGATGTTCACATGGCACTTTTGTAGCCAGCATTGAAAGATAATTACATGCCCCTAAACATTCATCTGCCCCTTGATGTTTCTGACACCATTTCAGAGGACATTCTTCCATGCTGACGATGCTTGTTAAAAAAAATTATGCCTTATTTAAATGTATGCCTGAATTCTTTGGGGGGAAATGGTATGTGTCGTACTGTTTTACCCATTTTCTGCCATATATTTCATGCTAAGATGATAACCTAGCATATGTTGTTTGTTTTAAGAATACTTTCACTGCAGATTTGACAAAATGCAAAGAAGGTACTTGTGAAATTTTTAATGATACCTACAGCACTCAACTCATGATTTAAGAACCTGAAGTGACTTCCAAAATCTGAGAGGAACAAGGTGTTGAACATGTTTTTAGAAGTCTTACAAGTGCAACAACACTCTGCTGTGGAAACTAGAGAACTCAAATGACCAAAAAGGAAAATCAAGCTTCTGCTGGTAATATCTAACTCTGATGATTAAATGAACACATGTCGGTCTGCACTACTTTGGAGCTTTATTGAGCAGAACCTGACTTCACCATGGGCACGTGTCCTCTTGAATGATGGGTTGAAGCATGAAGGGACATATGACTCTTTAGAGTATCTGGCATGTAAATATCTTGTGACACCGGCTATAACAGTGCCACAAGAATGCCTGTTCTCATTTTCAGATGAGAGTGAGAAGTCTTATTATTGCCTTCAAATGTATACAGACTTGTTTGTCTGAACAGCTGGCTGAACAAGCAGTAGGACTATGTGGACTTTCTAGGCTCTCAAGTTTTACATTGTTTTATATTTGAATGAATTATTTTTGTACATATGTCTACATTCATAAATTCAGCTTCCATGATAAAGAGATTGCATTACAGTATTATCATTAGGTGAACTGAAAATTATTTGTTTACAATGCAAATATTTGTAATATAAAAATAAATATGTAAAAATGAGAACTGTAACTTTCACATGCTGTGTTGTAATTCATATCAAAATATGGGAAAATATAGGAAACACCCACACATATTTACATAATTTTTTATTATTGTTTAACATTGTGACTGTGATTAATTTTTAAATCTCATGACAGCCCTAATAAGAACCCTTGGTATTTTTGTAGTACTTCACATGTTCAACTCCATGAGAGCTAAGGTGGGATAAGTTTAATTACTGAGGTAATGTTGACTAAAAACTATGCTTTAATTAAATCAGTCATTCGAACCTCATCTCTGCAAAGACTTATGCAAATGCTTAACT